CTGTTTATTCTCTCACATGCCTGTGTTCCCTAGGAGTAAATAGTCCCCAAGACTCATAGCAGCAGATGTAGACTCTGCCCCATCCTAAAGGAGTGTGTACCAAACTGGACCCCAAACAGATCTAAACTCTCCAAAGCTTTGTTAGGCATTGCCTAAACTGATACCTAGTAAAGCAGCCCCTCCAGTCTTGGTTTATTTGGTGGGGTGGCCTGCCTCCATACTTTGCTCATTAAACTCCAGAAAGAAAGGTTTAGATATAGCAGGGTTTATTGAAACTGCAAAAGGGAAAACAATTAATGGATTTATAAAACACTTAGAGCCTTCAAATCAAGTTAGGTGTATTGGTTGACAGTCTAGCTTTATAATCTCTTGTTGCCTAGTTCCCTTCACCAGGAAGTCTCCATTTTCCTTAACATCCTCAGTTCTTGCCACTTGTGAAGTTGGTTCTTCATCAGTTGTACGCTAGCCCCACAGCTCTGTCAATACTGAACAACCATTGCTAATGACAATCAGTATGTTCACAACAAGGGCAAGTACACAGGGACACTTCCTTAGTGTCTCCAGGGGTCATTATTGTAGATATAATATTGGAGGCTGTGGGTTTTCATCCAGGGCCAATATGCTTCTGAGAAGTCCTCCTGAGTGTCCCCACAAGCCCCTTCTTCTGAAACCTTCTCCTATCTAATGGTAGAGACAGAATTCATCCCTCCAGCCTCTTCAGTCTGACAACTCTGCTTCTGCAAATCTCTCTCCATTGGGGTTTCTGCTTCTGTTTGTGGCTAAGCGGCTTTTGTATCCCTCATGTGCCTGGGCCAAACCACTTTCTACCTTTCTTCCCCGGGGGTCTCCAGGGCACAGACAGGCCCTCAGTTTGAGACCCAGTCTCCTGGGAGTGGGGTTTTTCCTTCCTTCCCAAATCCATCGGTTTAACCTTTGAGTCTTCCAACCTTGCAGTAGACTCTATGGGTAGCTTGATCAATGCTCCAAGCACTGGATGGGAGTGTGATGGCCCTCTGCAAAAATTGACTTCACATTGAGCCAGAAGAGTGACAGCTTCTCTCCTTCTTCAGTCCATTTTAGACCTTTGTAACCTGATGTGCATGCCTTTGCCTAGCAAGAACACTCCCCTCTTTGGAGTGCATGTGTGGACTCATCAGCTTTGGGAGAAGCAACCCATTCTTCTCCTCTGAAAGTCCTGAGGACAGCTACCAAAGAATTGGCTAACCTTGTAGTAATGCCTGCATACAACCAGCCAGAATAAATCAAAGCCTTGAGGGACCGTCAAGGATAGGGGAACCCTTTATCACTCTAGGGACTCTGCTCTCTCCTCCACCCTTCTAACATCCTGCACAGTTTAAAGTCCCTTGTGACATTAGGAAAACCTTGAGCCTTGGCACCAAAAGCCAATAATTTGCTTTGGATAGATTGTGGTGGAAAATTATAAGACTCTAGCACCACTCAGAACTTCAGCAGGTGATCCAGAGGCACTGGCCAAATGACCCCCCGGACCTGATCCCTCCCTCAAGCACTTGAACTTTGATGGTGCCTATTTGTTATTCCTCAGGATGTCAGGGGCAAGCAACGATCTGAACATCGCCATCTATTGTCAGGATAACGTGTCAGCTGTTCTGCTAAATATGCAGGACATACACATTGCATGTGTGCCCAGACCACCATTATGTTATCACACAAAAAATTGACAGATAAACATGGCCATTTTTCAGAATTGAAAATATAAGTACTATTTCCTATTGTACACCAAATCATATGACTGGTGTATGATTGGAAATGCCTGTGTATTTCATTCTTATCTTGTAATAATTCATCACTTACTGATGTTGTACCAGTGGCTGTAACTAAGAGACCTGTATTTGAACCACAACTATCTACTTAGAAGCAATTTTTTGCTTTATTATGTGTACAAAAGACTTCATTTTATAAAATGAGATATCAAAGAGAGAGAGAGAGAGAGAGAGAGAGAGAGAGAGAGAAAGAAGTACTAATCTTGTACCATCATGTTAACACTTACATGGTGTCTGTTACTTAAGTATGATCAAAGTTAATGAGATGTATATGCGCTTTTATTTAAATTTTGATGTCCATGTCTATGTGCATGTGTTTACAAATAGGCATTGTGTATACCCACAAATGCTGCGCGCGCGCGCGCGCACACACACATATATACCCACAAATGCTGCGCGCGCGCACACACACACACACACACCTGTGTATGTAAAACATTTATTTCTAGTTTATTTGTATAGAAGGAACAGGAAGAAACCAGGCATTTCAAGAGAAGAATTCAAATTTTTCCAAATCTCCTGGTAGACCTGTACTTCCTCCTTCTAGTTTAGCTACTTTGACCATAGGCTATGGGCTCATGGGACATGGACCAGATTGAGAAGTAGAGGCAGACAGATGGTTATTTGTAATCATCATGTAAATGTAAATCCCATTAAAATGTGTGTGTTGCTTCAAAAAAAAAAGGTCTGAGAATTTCTATAGTAAAAGGAAGGATTAAGCCATGGACATATAGATTAGAATAATTTTGACCCTTCTATTCATTTTCATTTAAAACACTCAGACTGCTTTAAACAAATTCTCAGAGTCATGTGAGAGGAAATGAATGAATTTTCTATAGAATTCCTAGACTTTATACACATTAGTTTGACCTCAGTCTGGATTTGGGCCTAAATTGGCAGGTGTCTGTGAAGAGTTGCCTTGGTAGCAGGTCTTTATTCCTACTATAGCAGGTGCTTAGCTCCAAATGTTTATCTCCATACTGATCTCATGAAATGAAGTCTCATACTCTTAGTAAACTTTTACTTCCAAGTGTACTATACTGAAATTCAAATGTGGTATGGAACTTCAGTAACATCTGTATTTCACAAAGAGACATCCAGAATGTCATAATTATTATATGTGTGCTGTAACACAATATTGTGTATTTTTCTACTAATTCTACATGGGATGTATAATGAATTTTGACATGCACAGGTTCCTTGTTCTGTCACATAAACAGATAATTTCTTAGCTAACTGTCCTTTGGCTGCTGGTATAAATGCATTATGATCATGTGGGTAGGCAGAATCAGAAACCTCCTCTTTTTATTTCCCATAACCTCATATTCCAGACAAACCTCCAATATGAAAATATATGCATTACAGTGTTTCACTCTCTTTATTCTTATAACATTTAGCACCAGTTTTACTCTCATTGTAATGGTTGGAGTAACTGAAAACTACACACATGTAGTAGCAGATATCAGTAGACTGCCACAAAATATTGTTTAAAGTTAGCTTTCTATCATTTAAAATTGGCTGTTGTGAAATATTATAAAGTGGCAAACTGTAAGTAGTATTGGAATATTTTATTTGTGCAGTTATAGTTCTGTTACATCTGTGATAATTATATTAATGTCTATGTGGGGGAAATTGTAGAGCCCATTATACTTACCCTGGGTATAGCCTTATGAACTTTGTATCCATGAGAATTAAGAAGTAGGTGGGATATAACTAATTTTCATCAGACGAGAATACAATTTTGGGCTTAGTCTTTTGATGTGATATCTGTGGAAGATGATTTTGAAGGACACCTTTTAGTCTGCAGATTTCATATTTTAGAGAATGTGCAATTCTTTCTAGAATCATATTTGCAGCAGTTTCTTTATTTCTTCGCTTCTGTGTCTAGACATAGTGTACATAGACAGCTCCTTTCTACTGGAAACCAAATTAACCTTTAATTAGTTTCCCTCTCTCCTAGGATTTACCTGTGTGTCTTGAAAATGCTAAAATGATAAGCAGAAACCCATATCTGGAGCTGAGAGCCAGATTTATATGCAGGCTCAAGTCAGCCCATTCAGTGGCTAATCCATGTGCATATAAATTTTATCCTTGCATGTAACACACGGAAATGGAAAATGTGCAGTTCAAAATGTTAAAATGGAGCACATTTTATTAACAGCAGAAGCAGTAAATTAAATCTGCCTGTAAGCTGAAAGAGTGAGTGAGTTTTACTGAACTGTTTCAGAGTGCTCCTTTGGTGAGACATAGGCTTTCCCTGATTTCTCAGAGGGCTCTTTTTCCATTAAAGGTGAGGTCTTTATTAAAGTTATAATGAGACTCTTAGATAGTAGCTGAACTACAAAAGAGAAGATGCTCTAAATTATGGTAACTCATTTTGTGTCATCAGAGCTAACCTAGAGATAGAGTCTTGCATGAAAGACAACTGATTCAGTGGCTATCATTTCTAAACTTAACCTCTCCCTTTGTTGTAACATATTTTACAACAGAAGGTAGGCGGTATTGCATGATGTAGATTTCTAACAGTTCACAATGACCTACAATTTGAATTTTCCTCCTTTTTGTTTTCTCTTACCATACCTGCAAAAATATTAAAACAACACAAAAGAGCAGGTGCTCTACTACCACTTACATATCTGTGCACTTGTTACTACAAAAAGTAAGAATACACCTGTCACAGTTAAGGTAAAACTGCATAACTGTATCACCTGTCCTTTGGCCCAATTGGCTTTTAAAAAGCTGCTGTGGAGGTAGCTGCCAATTTAAAATCAGACACTCCAGATTTTAAAAAGGTTACTGGCAAGGTCCAGCGTGCTGCTTCCCTTAATGAAAAGAGCCCAGTGTCAGAATGGCAATAATGCTATAAGGATTTTTCCTCCCCCAAAGGTCAATCTGGCCAAATGTTGCTTGGCAGGTGTGTCTGCAGAATCAAAAGGGAATTGTGTCTGTATGAACACATTTATATGAGAGGTGCTTCTAGGGAATATACATGAATAGCCAGCATTTCTATTGTGTAAAAGGGCCTCCTATGAATCTTTTTTTAAAAAAAAAAACTCAGGTTACAGTAGCAGGTTCTGGATGGGTATTTTTTGTTATCACACACAAATATGGCTATTTAAGAAACTGACCTAGAATTTTTTTTTCTCTACTGATATTTAATAAATCTTGCCTTCACATTTCTCTTTGTTTTTGTATCAGTGCTACGGGATGATTTCCGCCAAAACCCTACCGACGTTGTTGTGGCAGCAGGTGAACCAGCAATTTTGGAATGCCAGCCTCCTCGAGGACATCCTGAGCCCACTATCTACTGGAAAAAGGACAAAATCCGAATTGATGACAGAGAAGAGCGAATCAGTGTAAGTCTATCCTTTTGAGACAGGAATCTTCCTGAAACGTGGGTTCACTATGGATTTTCAATAAAATCACATCATGTTATAAAACTCAATGAGATATAAATATGAATCATGTAAGAACCTCTTTTAGGTTACCACAGCATACTACAAGTTAATTCCTAATAATCTATCCATATATATGATGTCAGCTGTTCTGAAAACCTTAGTGCTGAAGCGGAAGACTAAGGAACTGAATACAGTTTTCATCTTGGCCCTAATAAAGCACTACTGTTTTGAACATTTTCAAATGCTATGAAGTAATACGTCAAGAATCTTACATTATTGTTCAAGGCATTGCAGTTAAATAGTGACGGCTTGGGCGTAATCATTGTATTAAAAAGTTATGCTTTCCTGTCCAATAAGATTCACAGAGGGCCTCATTTTACAGATACTGTGGCAAGTGGGCCAGAAATTTGCTTTTTCTATGTCTTGTATAATGAAAATGATGCTTTGGAAACTACATGTGGCTAAATTCAGAAATAATCAGGGTGGAGTTCTGAAGATTTGAGCTGGCTGGATAACTCAGTGAGCTAGAAATATATAGCTAGAAGTCAGGATATATAGCTAGAAGTCAGGAGTTTGATTTCCCACAGGGATTTTGATTCCCCACTGGAAATCGCCACAGGGATTTTGATCCCTAAGAGGATTTTGACTCCCCACTGTGTCTCCCAGCCTGTGTGGCCTTGGGCCAGATGTACAGTCCTAGAGCACCACCAGAAGAAGGGAATGGTAAGTCACTTTGAGTACTAGAAAACCCTAAGAAGGATAAGCATAAGTTAGAATTTACTTGACGGCATGTAATTATTTACTCCAAAGAGCTGATGCCACCAGAAGATCCTCCAGTGCCTTCTCCATTTTACTTTATGATATAAGGCTTGTAAATTGCTTTATGCAGGTACTGCATAGGTAGGTGGAACAGCTATCAATATTGAGAAGTCCAGAATTTTCCTTGCCATTTCCCTAAGACTGTGAAAGAGTTCTGAATGCATTAAAACTTACAGGTGTTTTTTCTTGTTTCTTCACAATAGATACGAGGTGGAAAGCTTATGATTTCAAATACAAGAAAGAGTGATGCTGGAATGTACACTTGTGTTGGCACCAATATGGTTGGAGAACGAGACAGTGATCCAGCAGAGCTAACTGTCTTTGGTAAAAAAAAAAAATCTGATATACTTACTTATCTCCCATCCTGAGCTACAGCCACAAAATTTTCATGATTAAATTCACCAAACAAGTGTCATAGTGTAAAATCTGTGCTATAATGGCTAATTTATATAATTACCCTTGCATAAGCTGTATCTTGAAATTCACTGTGATTTGCTCAAGAATTCTAATCTATTAGTAGAATTCTACCATGAAACACCCTCCATCCTTGAGTATAAAATTTAAGGCCTGTCAGAGAACCTCAAGAAATGGCATAATATTTACAAACATAATCTAGCATAATACTGCTATTTGTCACAAATTTATCAAATATAGTCAAGAAAACTATAGTACAATGGACAGATTGTGCTGCAAAGAGTTTTCAGAGTCATGTAGTTTATTTAAATTATTTCTTATTCCCCTAGGTAGATCAAAGCGTTTGTAACACTGCACAGGAGAACTAGCTGTAGCAGACCAGACCTGTTATTCAAGAATAATTTTTATGACATTGTTTGGTTTCAAACTGCTTGTCCTTTTTAATTTGTGTAGCAATTGGGTTTCTTGTGCTGATGATGGCATCAAAAGCTGACAATGTGTAGGTGGTGGAACTTCCACACTGAGCATGCCAAGTAGAAAATGAAACAATCCAGATGATTCAGTAAAATGAAATAATCAAGATGATTTCCCCCATGAGAAAAGTTTAGTATAGGGAGGGTGTACTGATATGATCTTAAATCTAAAATTATCCTACTACTAACTAGGTAATAAATAATACTGTAAAACCTTATTATAGCAGTATTCTCAGCAATGACATTTTATATGTCATTAGTAGCGTTTATGTAGGCATCAGTTCAAAGTGTCTTGAATAAGGCCAAAAAAATCAATGGGGCAGTATTCTGCTCAGTAATAGTAGTGGTGATGATTTCCACCCTCTTCTATGTTCTGTTTTGTAGAGTTATGTTTAACATATTTCAGAAATTGTATGTTGTTGTTCCTTCAATGTCAGTCAGTGTAGGGTGATTATTAGAAAGCTGTAAGACTTTCATATGTGATCAAGAATTCCGCAGATTAGTTTATGACCTTCGCACACTGATGATTGCTATACTAAGTAAAATATTAAGAGTGGGTTGGTTTATCCATCTTATGACCTTTGCACACTGATGAGTGCTATATCAAAATATTAAGAGTGGGTTGGTTTATCCATTACATCTATTGGTAGAAGTTAGCTTGCATAATACTTATTGAAGGATATTAATTAAATTAATGAAGGCCTTCTCACCTCATTTGCAGTGTTACAGATATAGGGAAGCATTTCCTGTAATGCTGAGCAGATTGCTGTCTGAAACTGCAGAATATTTCAGTGCTAAGAAGGTATTATTAGAAATACATATGTATCCAGCTGTTCAACCATACATTCCTCCTTTTATTAGGAGTTGTCATACAGTTCTCCAAAATCCAGCAAATGACATCCATTTAGCTATCCATTTAGCTATCCATGAAACTGTAGTCATAGAATCATAGAAAAGTGAACTTGGAAGGGCCCTACAGACTATCAAGTCCAACTCCCTGCTCAATGCAGGACCATCAAATCCAACTCCCTGCTCAACGCAGGAATACAATCAATGTATATCTGCCAGGTGATTATCCAAGTTTTTCTCGAATGCCTCCAGTGCTGGAGAACTCACCAATGCCCGAGGTAACTGGTTCCACTGTCGTACTGTTCTAACAGTTAGGAAGCTTTTCCTGATATTCAACCAAAATCTGGCTTCCTTTAACTTTTTTTCTTCTTTTTAATTTTTTTTATTTAACTATAACATAAACATAAACATAAAATACATAAACCAAAATACAAATTAACTGTTTTCCCCCCCACCATTTTCAACACTCCTTTCTTAACCTTTAAATTATAAGTTAGCTTATCATTTATGGCTATATTCCATATTTCATTATACCAATCATCCATTCAAAATTCAGATTTTGATTTCCATTGCCTAGCTATTATTAATCTAGCTGCTGTTAATAAATTGGTAATCAATTATTCAGTCATCCTATATTCCACATTCTCAAATATTAATAACAAAGCTATCTCAGGATTAAATTCTATATTTTTTCACATATGTCTTTTAGTTCCTTAAAGATTAGTTTCCAAAATCTTTATACTTTTTCACGTTCCCACCACATATGAAAGTATGTACCAATTTTCTCCTCATATTTCCAACAGACATTCAGATAACTAGTGTTAATTCTATTTAATGTTGTCGGTGTTAAATACCATTGGCCTTTTGGGAAATTCCCTCTCTTTTGGAGGGGGGGGGTGACTCTCACTGTGAAGAGTGAGGTTCGCAGCTTGGACCCGGCTCCCACCATGGAAATCCCATGCCCTTGTAATCTCGAGCGTAGACCACTGCAATGTGCTCTATTTGGGTCTACCTTTGAGATTGCTGAGGAAGCTTCAAATGGTGCAGAATGCGGCGGCCAGACTTCTCAGTGGGACGAGAAAATATCAGTATATTTCTCCCACTCTGGCCGCTTTGCATTGGCTGCCTGTTCATTTCCTCATTAATTTCAAAGTGTTAATGATCACATATAAAGCCCTAAACTGTTTAGGACCTCGATACCTGGCAGAACACCTCTTCCCACCTAGATCTACTTGTAACACTCGCTCTAGTCAGGAGGGGCGGCTGAGGAGCCTAATGCTGACGGAGGCCCAGAAAGAAAAAAACAAGAAACTGGGCCTTCTCGGCAGTGGCCCTCCGCTTCTGGAATAATCTCCCCTCTGAGATTTGCTTGGCCCCTTCACTGGGTATTTTCAAGAGCCAGCTCAAGACCTGGCTATTCAGGCAGGCCTTCCCTCTGGTCACCATCTGATTTATCGCTTTTTTCATCTTGAATTATTTTTTACTGTTGCTAAATTGATATTAGAGTGGTGCCTCGCTTAACAATTATCTTGTTAAACGACAAAACTGCTTGACGATGAAGTTTTTGCGATCGCTTTTGTGATGGAAAACCGATGTTTTGATAGGGAAAAATCGCTTAACAATTATCGGTGAAAAGCATTGGTTATAGCTAACACAGTCTGTTGGACCCAGAACTCCCTTGTACCTGTAATTTTCATCTTGACGACGCCTTTATGATTAATAGCCAAGTTGAAATCTTCTCTCAGTTCCTAAGTGTGTTGAAGACTGAAGGTGATTGTCTTGGTCCCTTACTCACTCACTCACTCACTCACTCACTCACTCACTCACTCACTCACTCACTCACTCACTCACTCTCACACACACACACACACACACGCACACACACACACACAATCTCAATGGCTCTGCAGGGTTTTTTTCAATAAAGCATCTATTTCCTTGTTTGCCCAGGAGTGTCAAGGAAGCAACTAGCCAGAAGGCAGAAAGGGCAGGAGATGGGAAACCTCTCCCAGGAGGCAGTTTGGCTTAGGTTAGCACCCCATCTCCTGCCTTGCCAGGGAAATCCAGCTCTGAGTTTTACGATGATGATACTGCTCTGAAGGGAAGCTGCCACAAACCGCTGGGAGACCAGGGAGAAATGGCAGTAGCTTACCTACATAAGATAGTGTTTGGTTCCCACTAGTGGCCAATCTGATAATTATAACTTGAAAATCCGTATTTGCAAGTATTTTCATTTAATATTTTTAGAATTTTCAGACTGTGGATTAGTGAAGCAGCAAATATTGATCCAGTGAATAAAGGGATTCTACTCTACTATGTCCAGTTTTGGACACGACACTTTAAACAGGATGCAAACAAATTAGAACAAATTCAGAGGAAAGTAACAAGGATGATCAAGGAACTGAAAATCAAGCTCTATGAGGAAAGATTGAAAGAACAAGTTTAGCTTTGACAAAAAACAAAACAAAACAAGAGGAGATGTGATAGGACTCTTCAAAAACTTGGGAGAATACAGAGGAAAGGAGACCTGCTATTGGTCATCCCAGAGACCAGGACATATAACAATGGGCTCAAGTTACAAGAAGCCAGATTTCAGTTCAATAAAACTTTCTAACTGTTAGAGAAGTGTGACAGTGGAACCTTGGGAAGTGGTTAGTTTTCCAGCACTGTAGGCATTTGAAAGAAAGTTAGACAACCATCTGTCAGATATACTTTGATTTGGATTATTGCATTGAGCAAGGGGTTGACTCAATGGCCTTATAGGCCCCTTCCAACTCTATTATTCAATGATTCTATGACTTTCTTATTGTCAGAAATCTGTTTACATGAAGGGAATTCCCCCCAGACAGTCCACATGGCCTCCTTTCACAGAGTGTTTTTGAGGAAACAGAGGAATCCGCAAGGAGACAGTTACCTCCAAACTTGTAAAAAAAATTAATTGAATAATCCAAAACTCTCAAAACTCATTGATACAGCCTCGTGTAATTTTTAAAATAACTAACATTACCTTCTAAAAGAGATCTGTTGCTTTTCTTCTTGAGCACGGTTTTCCATGAGCAAGTTATCCCAAATTAAGTGATCATAAAAGTTTTGCCAGCTCACTTTCCTGACAAGGCTGTTTCATTAATGCCACTTAAGCAGTGCAGGTTTTGCAATGAAGATGCTGACTATAACATTAGTAGGGAGTTTCTGGCATCAAGAAATCTGCCTTACATTCTTTAGGTATTTGAACATTCTACTTAAGGTATCTGATACTAATTTAAATGTTCTGCTCTAGAAAGCAAGTCATGTGTATCTTGGCCATATATTTAAAATGAAACCACAGCAGGAAACTAGGATTGGCTTACATTGAAGAGTGAAAGCAGTTTAATAATATTTCTGGAAAATATACACAAATGTTGAATAATGTAGAGGAAGGTTAATTATCGAGTTGCTGATTAATGATTCTTGCATACATTGTATTCTTCAATTTTTTCAGGAATCAATCCCTTATTGTTTTGGTCCTGAGATATTTTTGACTTAATACCAAGGATGTATTTTGGTGTGTCACTCATCTTTAGGTTCCCATACAGTGAATTTAGCTTGAGG